ACCATTTGTTAAAAAGGCTGCCATTTCCCCACCTAACTGATTTCATCTCTTTGTCAAAAATTAATTGACCATAAATAGATGGGCTGATTTCCGGGTTCTCAATTCTATTCCATTGATCTATGTGTCTGTCATTGTACCAGTACCATGCTGTCTTGACTACCATGGCAGTGTAGTAGGACCAAGGTACTTTTATAAGTACATGAAAGATATTTGTCTAGATGAAAGATGAATTTCCTCTGGGAATAAATTCAGGGAAAAGGCCCTTGGATTTCAATGTAAAAAACCCAAATAAAGAAAAAACAAACTCAACAAACTGAGTAAGAGTGTATTTTTCTAAGAATTGACTTTGCATAGTGGTAAAAACTCTGTCAGGGCAACTTGCCAAGTATCCTATGCACCAGCTGAAGAACCCACAGGGCAGTGAGTCTTAATAAAAAGGACTATTTTTGCTTTCTCAGGTTCCTGCAGTGAAAGAGCTTGTACTATTTCCAACACAGATGCTCCCTTCTGGTTTATAGATTTTACCACTTCCTAACTTAGAGTTTATACTTAGAATCAAAATTTCGTGTTCTATAAAGTGACACTCCTTCAAAGCCATGTGGTCTGTATGGGCCAGTCTGCCTCTTTATGTTTAAATGATAACCCCTGGGGTGGGAGACCCCAGGTAATTTCCTCACCTGGGTGATGATCAGTAGTTACTAAATTCTCTTACTCATTTCTGTCCAGTTGGAACGTACCCTTAGTTGACCCTCCAGAGGGTTTTTGCAGACTGTAAATTGAGTGAGAAGTGGTTGTCCATCTTTCTCATGTAGAGCTGGTGGTGGGTTTGAACTGCCAGAGAAGCACTGCTTCTGAAATAGCTGTGCATTTCCCTATGGACTACATCACCAGAGCTCTGTATTTTGAGGTTTTTTTCAGTGTTTTTATTTTTCCATCAGGAACAGCAGAAGAGTCAGACTAGGAGAAAATATGATATATGTGGCTATTTACAATTGCCACTTTTCCCCATGAGATCAGAAGAATTGGATGGTGCCCAGCCACTATTACTGATCATTTTCATCAAAGATCCTGGAAAAAAACAATTCAGGGAAACCATTGCCCTGAGATAATCTTTAAACCTTGAAACAAAAATTTGTTCTTAAGTCTTACAACAAACAAAAATAGCTTAACTAGCAAAAAATGTCTATCTTGAGAATCATGCTATTTATGGTGTCTGTGGTGACTTTGTGGTGTCAAATTGACAACAGGAACTTGAAAGACTAGGTAGGAACCTTAGTGTTAATGGGGGAAGACTAGTACAGGTAAGGAAGGTGAGAATGGTTGCACAACTGAGAGAAAAAAATCATTGTCACTGAATGATAATGGACTTAGTCTCACCAACGTTGAGCATGTTAACAGGAGGGGACTGTCTCTGGAGAAAGATATCATATTTGATGGTGGTGGTTGTTGTTGTTATATGCTGTCAAGTTGCTTGCAACTAATAGCGAGTCATCTAAAAAACAAAACAAAACAAAATAAAAACCAAAAAAACACAACAGGAAGGTCCTCAGTGAGATGAATTGACACACTGGCAGCCACGTTGGGCTTCAACACAAGAAAGATTGTGAAGATGGTTCAGCATCAGGCATTGCTTGGTTCTGTTGTACATTGGGTTGCTGTAAGGAATCCTGGTGGCATAGTGCAGATTGTGTCTGACTGCTAACTAACTAGAATGTCAGTGACTCAGATACATCAGCTACTTCTTGGGGGAAAAGATGGGAAGTTTTATTTTGAATAGATCTACAGCTTTGGAAACCAGATGGGGGATTGTCATCTACCTGGGATCAACTTAATGACAGTGGGTTTTAGGGTTACTGTGAATCAGAGCTACTCAATGACACCCAACAACAATGAAAATGATACATGTAGAAACTGTTAAATTGGTGTATGTTTGTTGTTTATATTCCCAATAACAGCAAAATAAACAATATTCTCTTAAAAAGCAGACAAAGTGACCCCTAGTATAGATAACTCAAAGGGTTCTTTAAGTTTTAAAGAGTTTTATACCCTCTAATAAGATTCCTGGGTGGCCTTACTGTTTTTTACTCAGCTAGATATCATAAGGTTGACAGTCTGAACTCTTCCACTGGTGCCTTAGAAATAAGTTCTGATGATCTTTCATCAATATGACAGCTAAGAAAGCCCTATAGAACAGTTGTCTTCAGTAACATAGTGATACAGTGAATTGGAATCAACTCCATGGAAACAAGTTTGGGTTTTGTGTCTTGTTTTGGGGGGGATGGCAAAGTCCATAGGGAGTTCTACTGTTAACCTAGAGATGGCACCTCTCTGGCAGTTTGAATCCATCAGCTGTTGGGGAAGAGAAAAATGAGCAATCTCCTTCTCTCCTGTGTGATTAAAAACCTCTGAAAATCCATTGGAGGGGCAGCTATGAGTCAGTTCCACCTTGAGAGTAATGGGTTTGAGTTTTTGTTGAATACCATTAATGCCCCTAGGAGTCATCCCCAGAGGCAGCTGAAGATATCAAAATTCATGCTGTGCTGATTAAGTACTTGCCTGCTAAATGAAAGGTCGACATTTTTAAGCTCCCCAGAAGTATTCTTCTCTCTTAAAAATCACAACCTTATGGAGCAGTTCGACTTTGTCACAGTAGCTGTTAATTAGAAACCGACTAGAAGGCACCTAACAACATTCAGTAGAAAAGAAAACCTGGAAAATCTTGAACAGTGTGCTCTGGGTCACTACTTTCACACTTAAGAATCAACTCAGGGATTGTGTCAAAAGGTTTCTCCCAAATTTTGAGTCTCCAAGCTACCTAGTGGCTTCAGGATAGACCTGTATATCTTTGTGTTCTAGGGGGACATTCCTCATTCTTTCATGTGATAGTTCTTTCTGTCTCAGGCAGGGAACGTGGTAACGGGAGAGATGGTAGAAGAGCTTATCCTTTCTGGAGCAGATATAATCAAAGTGGGAGTTGGGCCAGGTAAGTTTCCTGGGGACCACAGCAGGGGGTGGTGGGGTGTGTCTGGGATGGGAACGGAGGCTTGTGGAGACTGGAGATGGTAAGAATACATGATGCAAACACTTCAAGCACATTTCTTGAGGAAGCATCTTTAAGCTTTGAGAAGACGCTTGTGGTTAGAAATGTTATTGAGCTGCTTTCTGGTAACTCTGGTTAACTGCTAAATAAGCTTGGGTGTGGCTACAACATGAGGTCTTGGTTTCAGAATGATAACGTGTAAGAACAGTGTGCGGATTTCACTAATGGTCTCATATACCTTGAATAAGAAGGTCAATGGTGAAGAGTTCAAGGGGACATTTAATGATTGTGAGTGACTCAAGTGTTTGTGAATGTGTAAGCGGCCACAAACACTACAAATAAACATGTTGCTGTGAGGCCACATTTGAACTTGACCTGCCCATGGCCCAGGTAGCTATCACTTCCCAGTTGATATACCAGTCCCAGATTTTTTTGCCTTTATCTTTCAAGATTCAGTGCTAGGAAGCCCCACTGGCATCTTGAAGGGGAGGAAGTTGAACCTTTCCACCTTATACTGAGTGGGCCTGGCATTTTCCTTTGAGGCCATTTGACTTTCACTTCTCTTGTTTAACCCCCAGAGTGAGCTGCTGTCCCTCCTTCACTGCCCTGCATGCACATGCTTCCATACGCATCAGTCATTAACCAAGCACTAAAACTGGAGAGAGAGAAAGAAGATACACCTTTTCAGTTGGAACTAAAAAGCAGCAAATATTTTTTGAAAATTCTCCCACTTAAATGATTTGATCAAAAAAGGAAGCAAACCGTAAACTCATATGTGAGGACCTAGAATAGTGCAGATGGGAAACAGAAGGCACAGTTGTGTTGTGATGTGACACAGTTACCAGCCTGGAGGGAATGGGATGTGTGATAAGATAAATGAGGAACCTTTGAGATGCATAAAGTTACCTGAGCTTTTAATATATAAGGAAGTTTTAAAGATTGGCTTTATAATATATAATATTTAAGTTCTGCTAGCTTACACCAATTGCCATATTCTAAGCAAGAAATGGATTGGCCTGGTGACTGTAAACTAGAGCTCAGGTGTATTGGAGGTGGTGAATAATGGCACAAAATAGGGAATGGTTCAGATCTATGATTTGATCTGAGTCGTAGTTGACTTGATGGCACATAACAACAACAACAACAATCACAATGAGAGAGCAAGAGAACTGTCTATCATCGTCTCTGTGTGGTGCAAATAGTTAGCACTTACAATTGCTGACCCATAGGTTGGTTGTTTGAACTGTTAATAGCACATCTTGAGCAAGAGGAGGGAACTTGGACCTCTTATCTCTTTGCTTTTATTGAAGTCAAAGATGGGGTGAGGCACCAGGGGTGTGAGGAGCAGGAGAGGAGATGGGTTAGAGGTGCGTGCTCCCCCAGGTCTGGGGAGGGCAGGGGCAGTACTTGGATCCAGCTTTCACACTAGGGTTCCAAAAAAATCACATCAGATCAATAATAGTTTATGGCAACTCCATGTGTGCTGTGTAGAATTTCGTGCCATAGGATTTTCAAGCCTGCTATCTTTTGTAAGCAGATTGCCAGTACTTTCTTTTGAGGAGCCTCTGGGTGACTCTGAACCACTAATCTTTCTATTCACATTTGAATGTTTTACCTTTTGGATCACTCAGGGACTCCTACTGAAGCTCCAAGGTACCCATAATCCACATCACCAGATTCTCAGGCGGGCTGACTGAGTAGCAACAGAGACAGGGAAGCAGATGACTCATTCATTCACTGGCTCATTAATTTTTCTCTTGAACTCGCTATCTTGCCCTGACTGAGCATCAGGCTGCAGTCTAAGCCCTGGATGTCCATGGTCTTTGTGCTCTTTAAGCTTACTATCTGGCAGAGAAAATGAACCCTAAAGGGACTCAAGCTTTAATTATTTAAATACTTCCTTTAAAGATAAGTGATAGGAAAGAACATTTCCCCGAGACTGTGACATTTGAGGTGAAACTTGAAAGATGAGAAAGGGTTGGCTAGACTAGAAGGGGTGAATCCAGATTGGAGTGTCCGGATGGGGAGAACAGCATGTACACAGAATCCCATGGAAGGAAGACGCTTATTCTACCAGAATGTCATTGTTTCTGGGGCAGTGCTTGGGCTCCAGGAAGGTGGGGAGGGGTGCAGCAGGGGGTTGTATTGACCGCTCAGATTTTTTTCCTGTATCCCACCACCCATTTAATTTATAAAGAATAGAGATAAAAACACTAGGGAGGTATTTTATATATATATGTATGTGTGTGTGTGTGTGTGTATATATATATATATATATATATATAGTTATTTATCATTTATTATTGCATACTTTGCAAGAAATATTTTTATTTTCTTTTTTAAAAATTTATAATATTTTATTTCTTTTTAATATTTATTTGGTTTACTCCTTTCTCCCTCAATTCTCATCTCTCCTAACCATCCACAATTGAGCCTTACTACATATAAGCCTTTTCTCGTTTGTTTTTTTTTAATATTGTTGGTCTTATAAGACCAAGTTCTATCATTCAGCATAATATATTCTCATTTCATCCATGTGTTGCAGGTCTTGTTAATGCATGATAGTTTTTGTGATGGCTAATGCTCTATTCATTGTGTCAATGCATCACAGTTTCTTTAGCCATTTGTTCATTTATGGGCACTTAGGTTGTTTCCAACTCTTTGCTATTATAAATAGTTCTGCTATAAATTAATGTGAGTATAGATTTATCTGTGTCATAGCTCTTATTTCTTTAGGATGTATATACCTAGTAATGTAATTAGTAGATTCTGGTATTTCTAATTCAAAATTTTTAAGGAAGAGCCAAACTGCTTTGCATAGTGGTTGCACCATTTTACATTCCCACCAAAAGGGTATGAGAGTATCATACATTCTTGTTTTGTTTTCTTGGTGGTGTTTTGTGCCATCAAGTCACCTATGACTCATAGTATCCCTATGTACATTACCTTCAGAGTACTCACTTCAGGGACTCACTGTCTCCAAAGCATCTACCTCCTTTACCGCAGTCACTGTGTTTAGTCCATCTCATCTAGGGTCTTCCTCTCCTGTACTTTCCTTCCACCCTTCCAAGCATGATGTCCTTCTCCAAGGGCTGGTCCCTCCCGGCAACATGCCCAAAGTATGTGAGACAGAGCTTCAAAATCCTTGACTCTATTTAGCAACTTGATTTCATCCTCTCCAGGACAAAGCTATTTGTTCTCTTGGCAGTCCATGGTATGTATGTTCAATGCTCTTCTCTAGCACCACAACCCAAAGGAATTGATTCTTCTTTTTTCATCTATAGTCGTTGTCCAGCTCTCTGATGCGTAGCAAGTAATTGCAAAGACCATGTCCTAGATCAGGCACACTTCAGTTTCTAGACTGACATCATTGTTCCTCAGCACTCTGGAGAGGTCCCTGACAGCAGATTTACCTAATGGAAATCATCTTTTGATTTCCTGACTGCTAGTGCCATGAGTATGGATTGTGGAACTGAGCAAGCTGAAATTGTTGACAATCTCAATCTCTTTCCCATCTATTGGCCCAGTGCTGAGAATCTTTTTCTTGATGTTGAGCTTCAGTCCATATCAAAGGCTACAGTCATTGACCTTCTGAAGCAAATGCTTCAGGTCCTCCTTGGTTTTGGCAAGTAAAATTTTGTCATCTCTATAGTATAGTGTTGATAAGACTTCATTTCTGATGTCAAAGTCCTCCTTATCAAGTCCAGCCTCCCGTATGATCTGTTCTGTATGCAGACTGAAAAGATATAGACACAGGATGCATCCCTAATACACTCCTTTCCTGATTTTGAACCATGGATTGTTTCCTTGCTGTTTTGACTATTGCTTCCTGATCTAAGTATAATTTTTGCATTAGAACAATTAAGTTTTCTAAGATTCTCAATCTTTTCAAAGTTAGCAACAATTTGTTGTGATCCACACAAATTTTTTGTATAGTCAATGAAACACCAATATACATTTCTTTGATACTCTCTGCTTTCAACCAAGATCCATCTGACATTGGTTTTGATTTCCCTAGTGCCATGGCCTCTTCGAAACTCAGCCTGCACATCTAACAGTTCTCTGCTGATTTACTATTCTGATTGTTTTTGCATAATCTTCAGTAGGATTTTGATTGCATGTAATATTAGTAATATTTTTCAATAATTTCCACACTCTGGTGGGTCACTTTTTTGGAATGGGAATAAATAGGGATCTTGTCCAGCCAGTTGGCGAGGCACTTGTCCTTCAGATTTCTTGGCACAGCCTGGTGAGCACCTCCAGGGCTGCATCTGTTTGTTGAAATATGTCATTTGGTATGCCATCAACTCCTGCAGTCTTGTTTGCAAATTCCTTCAGAGTAGCTGAAACTTAGTATTTCATCACCAATGTTTTTTATTCATCTGTTGTTTCATACAATTCTGTGTCAGCTAATTCTTTTGTGGTACAATGACTTTGTGTGCTTATTCTATCTTCTTTTGATGCTTCCTGGATCATTCTGTGTTCTGTCCATAACATCCTTAAGTATTGCATCTCGAGGCTTGAATTTGTTCTGAAGTTCCTTTAGCTTGAGAAGCTGACCTCTAAAGTCTGGGTGACAGATATTGAAAAGCAGACATGTGCAGAGGTGACTTGCCCTAAAGAATGTGACACTTGGCTGTAAGATGTAAGAATGTTATTAGATTTGACTTCCTTCCCCAGAGGGCTTACTACATGCCTGTGGTTGCTGAGTGCAGACATTTAATTCACTTGACTGCTAACTCAAAGGCTGGAGATCAGAGTTCATGCAGAGGTGCCTTGATAGAAAGACCTGGCAATTTAAACTTGCTGTTTCTTTTGATTGCTATCAAGTCGAGGTTGACTCATAGCAACTCTATGAACAAAAGAACTAATGCCTTTCCACAGCTATCGTTGTTTCTCCAAGTTCATAGAGTTTCCAGAGGCATGTGATTTAGGAAGTGGATGCCCTCCTGCTTCCAAACCTTTTTAACAACTGGGCGCTCCATCAAACATTGTACACATTGGGAAACCATTATGGTATTTGATATCCCCATGGCACAAGGTTCAGCATCACAGCAAACCCAGGTTACTTCATACAACACATTCACAAAGAGTGATGTACAAAGTGAAAGACTATTCCTCCAGATATAACAGCACTAGTCTCATTTAGCAGTGATTAAGTGTTGTCAAGTCGAATATGACTCAGAGTAAGCTTTGCACAAAAGACCTGAACTCTGTTCTATAATTGACATAATTTCTGTACATTTATAAGAGAATTTGTAGAGTTCCCAGAGGCATCTAGTTTAGGAAGTGGAAATGAATCAATCTGGAAGCTCATCTAAACACTGTACATAATGGGTAACCATTATGGGATTTGATACAGCTATGGAACAGTGTTCAGCATCCCAGCAATTCCACATTGGGCAATTAAAATTATCCATTGAAAACTCTGTAGAACAGAGCATGGGATTTGACTCTATGCCAGGCCCCAGGCCAAGAGCTGGACCTGCCATATCCCATTTCTTTTCTACTACAATCCTATGTGATTGGTGTTTTTATTTCCATTTTATAGATAAGGAGATGAGACTTAGAGAGGCTAAGATATTTGACAGAAGTTGCAGGTAAAGAAGGTAGGGGAGTGATGGATGATCTTAAAGGGACCTTTAGAAGAGAATGAGATTTGTGCTGCTAATGCAAAAGCCTAGGCTCTATGGAGGTTTGAATCTACCAGCTCCTCCTTGGGAGAAAGAGGAGCAATCTCCTCCCACTGGATTTACACCCTTGGAAAACCCCACAGCAATGAGTTAGTCAGTTTAGAATTGAATGTGGTTGCTTGGCCATGTGAAGACCAGCAGGAAGGAAAGGTTGGAGCAGAGAATTTAGAGTGCTTGATCACTGCATGGAGGCTGGTGGGATAGGACATGGTGACAGTGATGGCGTCGAGGAGAAGGTGGCATCCTGGGCATCAGCAGACAAGAGTGAGGAGGCCCTTAGAGAGTGTAGTGACCAGATGGTGTGGGTTATACACCTTCAGAACCAGGCAGCCCCTCTCCTCTCCAAGCAAGTCTCCTCTGCCGTAGTAACTTCAACACGAGGCAGTCGGAGGAGGGCTGTGTGATGGTGACAAGGGCTCTTGCCGTTCTGTTTTACACTTTCACAGCCATCTGTGGATCCTCTTCTTGCTCCACATCCCAGGTTCTGTGTGCACCACCCGCACGAAGACCGGCGTGGGCTACCCACAGCTGAGTGCAGTGATCGAGTGTGCAGACTCCGCCCACGGCCTCAAAGGTCATATCATCTCCGTGAGTATCCTCTGTAGTGGGACTGCCGTGTCCTGCTTCCTGGTCACCCTACACCATAGGCTTGGGAGTGTGCGGGCCCTGGGTTTGCTTACTCTGAAGTGGGCACCCTGGACGGTGTGGTGAAATTGTAGAATGATGGGGGAATACTCAGGGAGTTTTGAGGAAAGGAACAGGGCAACAGATTTCAAATTTGAGAAGTCGGGAAAGGCTACTTGGGGTAAAGGATGTGGAATGTGGTTGGAGAGAAATGTGCCACATTAAGAGGGAAATGGAGAAGTACAAGAATGTAAAGCAAAAGAGACTGACATTTAAAAAAAATCTGTAAGTTCCTGTGGCTTGGGGTGAGGAGAGTGAGCTGGAAGTAGAGAAGGAATGGGGTGCCATGGAGTAAGCTATGGGGCAAATGTGAGTGAGACTCTTACAGGTTGGGTTCTTTGTCTTAGAAACACTGAAGAGTTAATGCAGAATCTGAGCAGAAGAATGCTGAGTGGATTGATTTATCTTCAGAAACAGTCAATACTTTGCCTTGTGAAGGGGGAGGATAGGTAGAAGAGACCCAGAAAGAGGTATTAGCATTGCTTTAAAGTTCAAGCATTGTCTGCTCTGCCCAGCAGAAAACCAGCAGCTGGCCTGTAATACTGAGCTGCTGAAAAGTTCAGCTTGCCAATGCAGTCTCAAATTACAGACTTTGGGACAAGTCTCCACGTTAGTTTCTTTTGAATTGTGTGTTCAAAAGTGGTCCACCCAATGTGGGGCCGTTTCCGCTGGTCTCGGAGGAGCCTAGGCAAGTCTGCCTGGCTTAAGGTGATATCTCTGCCAGTCCAGGGGATGGGTACCTCTCCGTCAGAGGAAGTGCCCCCCCTAACCTGGGCAAAATCTTACATGGTACAGGAAGCATCGAAAGAAGATGGGTGAGTCAATGATAATGTGAAGTTAAAAGAAAAGAAGATGGATGGAAAACATAGACTCATTGTATCAAAAAGGATTGGTTGACACAGAATCATTTCAGGAAGTAGCATATGATCATGAGTCCATGATAATGAAGGAAGGAGTTCAAGCTACACCAAAGGCATTGGCAAAAAATAAGGCTCTAAGAATTGATGCAACACCAATTGATATGTTTCAACAAATAGATGAGTCCTGAACATGCTTACCAGTTTGTGTCAGAAATTTGGAAAAATAGAGTTATGACCAATTGACTGGAAGAGATCCATATTTGTTACCATTTTTTTAAAAAAGGTGAGCCAATAGAATGTGGAAATCAGTGAACAATATCATTTATATTACATGCAAGTAAAATCTTACTAAAGATTAGTAAAAAGAAGCTGGAACAGTGCATAGTCAGGGAACTGCCAGAAATTCAAGCTGGATTTAGAAGAGACCTTGGAACGAGAAATATCATTGCTCATGTCAGATGGATTTTGACTGAAAACAGAGACTACCAGAAGGATGTCTATTTGTGTTTTATTGACTATGAAAGAATATTTGTGTGGATCATAACAAATTTTGACGATGTTGAGAATAATGGGAATCCTGGAATACTTAATTGTGCTCATGAGAAACCTAGACCTAGACCTAGACCAGACCAAGGCAGCCATTGTTTGAGCAGAACAAGAGAACACTGCATTTTTTAAATCAATGAAGGTGTGTGTCAAGGTTATATCTTTTCTGTACACCTATTTAATCTGTATGTTGAGCAAATAATTTGAGAAACTGAATAATTATATGAAGAATAATGTGACATCGGGATCAGAAAAGACTCAACAACACTTGTGTTAGCCTGATGACACATAGTCCTTGTACAAAGTGGAGAGGTTTGCAACACTTGGTGCAGAAGATCAAAGACTACAGCTGTGGATACCATTTTAACACCAAGAAAACAAAAATCCTTACCATGGATTAACATTATGATTGATGTGGAAAACATTAAGGTTGTCAGTTTTACTTTTACTTGGGTCCACAGTCAACCCCCATTTTAACAGCAGTCAAGAAAATAAGATGCTCTGAGAAAATCTGCTTTCAAGGAACTCTTCAAAGTGCTAAGGTGCAACAATGTTAGTTTAAAGACTAAGGTGTAATCTTTTCAATTACTTCCTATGCATCTTAAAGTTGAACTATGAATACGGAGGATAGACGAAGAATTGATGCCTTTGAGTTGTGGTGTTGGGGAGAAGAGCACGGAATATCCTGTATATTGCCCAAAGAACAAATAAGTCTTTCTAAGGAGCTCGGGTAGCCTAGTGGCAAGAAGCTGGGCTGTAATCCCAAAGGGTGTGCGTGTGTGTGTGTGTGTGTGTGTGTGTGTGTGTGGTTTGAATCCACCAGATACTCTGCTGGGGAAGGAAGGGCAATCTCAATCTCCTCCTGTGCCAGTCAGATCCGATCCGATGGTACACAATAAGAAAAAAATAAATACAAAAAAGTAAAAAAGTTTGTTTTTTATTAAAAAAATAAGTCTGTCTTAAGGAAAGTGCTCCTTAGAGGCAAGGATGCTGAAATTTCTTCTCACGTACTTGAGGTATGTTGTTAGAAGGGGGTCTGTCCTTGGAAAAAGACATACTAATAAAGGTGGAGGGTCAGAGCAAGAGAGGAAGGTCTTATCCAAGATGAATTGACACAGTAACTATAGTAATAAGATGATGAGCATGGCATAGACTAAGACTAGGGCAAGGTTCACATCCATTGTTCACAGGGTGGTGATGAGTGTAGTCAACCTCATGGCCCCTTGTGGGGGGCCATGAACGGCCGCATGGTCGCCATTACAAGACGGCACCGACTTCCTGCCTCGCCTTGTTTTTCGGAATCACACTTAAGACCTTATTTGGGCACTGTGTTCTCATTGGTCGATGGCTCAATCTCACGTGGGGTTAATGGTCCAATGGAGGCATGACACATGAGACTGATGGGCGGAGACCTGAAGAGGGGATAAAAGGCCACGCAATTTCCCTTTCGCTCTCTTGCTCCTCCATCTTCCACCACCCTCTGTAACAAAACTCCTGAGTAAACTGCTGTGAGAAGGAATCGTTGGTGTGTTGTGTCCTTATTCCGGGGTGAGGCGTGCAACAGCCCCTGACAACAACTTAACTATATTAAGAGCTCTGTGGTTAAGACATTTGGCCACTAACCAAAGGTCAGCAGTTCCAGTTCACCAGCTGCTTCTTAGGGGGAAGATGTGGCAGTCAGCTTTTGTAAGGATTACAGCTGGGAACCCTTCAGGCAGTTCTGCTCAGTCCTGTAAAGTAGGAACGACTCGATGGTGGTGGTCAGTTTGTTGGTTTTGTGAATAACAGTGTTGATTCATATTGAACATAGTATTACATTTTCAAATTTTTTTTTCACTTGTGCACTTGCTAAGCCAGGCTTCTACGTTAAATAATTGCTAGGTGATTTTTTTTAAAGTCAAATGCAGAAAAGAATACATTTATCAGTGATAATATAACTTTTTTATTTCTACTATCTTTAATTCTCTTGAAGTTTGCTTTCTAGACATATTTTTATAGGATATAACAACAACACTGTCAGTAGCAAATATTTACGAAGGGATTTGAAACTACATTTTTGAAACTCATTGCTGTTGAATCAGAACCAACTCATAGCTGACCCTCCACTGGATTTGCAAGGCTGTATATTGCACGTATACTTGGACCAGAAGGCAGCTGTCAGAACAGAGCAAGTAAACATTGCAAGGTTAAGAATTGGGAAGGGTGTGAGCCAGGGATATGTCTGATCGCCATACCTTTTCAATCTATATGCAGAACAGATCATCCGGGAGGGTGGTATCTACAAGAAGAAATGTAGCGTCAGGATTGGAGGAAGACACATCAACAATTTGCATTATGCAAATGACACAACCCTTCTTGCTGACACTGAGGAGGATCTGAAGCACTTATTGCAGAAGGTCAAGGAGTGCAGCCTTTAATATGGATTGAAGTTCAACATCAAGAAAACAAAGATTCTCACCACTGGGCCAGTTGGCAGCATCATGATAGATGATGAAGAGATTGAGACACTCTTGGTATCAGCAGCCAGGAAATTAAAAGGTGAATTGCATTGGGAAAGTCTGCTGTCAGAGACTGCTCCAAAGTACTGAGGAGCAACTATGTCACCCTGAAGACTAAGGTGCGCCTGATCCAGGCCATAGTTTTTGCATTTACTTGTTATGCATCAGAAACCTGGACAATGACTAGGGATGATAGAAGGAGAATTGATGCCTATGAGCTGTGGTGCTGGAGAAGAGTATTGAATATACCATGGACTGCTAGAAGAACAAACAGGTATTTCCTAGAGAGGGTGAGACCAGGCTGCTCCTTGGAGGCAAGGATTCTGAAACTTCATCTGACATACTTTGGACAATGGTGCAAGAAGGGGTCAGTCCTTGGAAAGAGACATTATGCTTGAAAGGGTGGAAAGACAGCACAGAAGAGGAAGACCCTTGATGAGATGGATTGATTCAGTGAATGGGGTGGTAGGGGTAGGTGTGTCAGAGACAATAAGATTGGCACAGGATAGAGCAGGGTATGGAGTTGTTGTACATAGAGTTGCTATGAATCACAGGTGACTCAACAGCACATAACAACAACAACGACAACAAATTACATAAGATGAGATTACCCATCTCTTCTCCCAGTGAAGGGTTAGTGAATTGAATTGCCAGAGAGGCTCAGCCTTTGCATTAGAGTGCAGTTCCCAACATAATCTGCCACCAGAACTCCAAATTCCTCCTCTTCCTCCTCTCATCCTGTCACGCTGGTTGGATTCATAGTGGCCTCTCAGTGGTTATCATGGTTGTAAATTTCACAGGAGGAGACTACATATCTTTTTTCCATTGAAATCTGATGGATTTGAACCACCTGAGAAGTGCAGCCTTCCAGTTAACAGTGCAGCTCTCAAGCCACTAGAGCTCCCTGTGAGCTCCAAGTTGGTAGAGGTTAAACTGATAATGTTTTACTATGAATTTATCCTTGAGATATACCTTTGTCTATCTAGACACTTTTGGCTTG